TTACAAAGGTAAAAACTAAATTCCCTGTAAATCACTTTAAGGAGTCAAATATCACCTCTTAATGGGAAGGTTAATTTTTTTATAAGAATTTTTTTATTACTGATTAGAGTGCTCCTAAATTTTTGACCGTGCTCCTAAAAAGAAAAGTAAGCGTAGAGCCCTGTTATTGTTATACTTTTTTCTCAAATTGTTAATGTTAACAACATCAGCATTGCGTGACTATGAGTATAGTGTGTGTGTAGATTTCAGTTTCTGTTCAGTCTAATCTCTAATTGTCATACTCTTCGAATTTCATATTAAGAAATTCTTTTAACCCAAAAAGCTAATTATGCTCCCTTCTAACTGGTTTTCTTTAAAATACAAATCTTTGTAATCCCAGGCTATCTGTAATCAGAAGCACATTTAAAACTGGAATATAATTTAATTTCATTCACATGTGGTTCTTAAACACATAATCCTTCATGGATTACAATCCGCCATCAAAATAATACATTTAATTATTCCAGCTGCTGTGAGAAAAGGCTATAAACGATCCGCCACCTGCAGGATCCTCACATGCGATAGCCTAGTAGCCGGGACAACTTCTTTATGTTTACAGAAGTGACGTAATGACGCAGTGCCATGCTCGAATTTCCCGCGAAAACCTACCCGTACCACTCAAATTAGAAAACATTATTATAAGCTAATCGTTGTGAATCGGGCTAAAGTAAGGCGATAGTTTTGAACACTGGCTGGTTATGTACTTGCTCAAATATTGATTTCGGATAATTTTTAACCAAAAAAAGTTACGGACTGCAGCTTTAAGCAGCAAATCAGCACATGATTTCTGAAAAGATCATGTGACAATGAAAACTGGTGTAATGATGCTGAAAATTCAACTTTGATCACAATAATAAATTACATTTTACAAATAGACAACAATTCTCATAATTTGTAATAATATTTGGCAATATTACTATTTTCTCTGTACTCTTGATTAAATAAATGCAGACTTGGTGAGCAGAAGAGATTTTTTCCCCAAAAAAACATTAAAACATTGTAATGTTTCCAAACGTTTGACAGGTATTGTATAACATTGTTACCTAGTGCTTATATTGCTTAAATGCCATTAGATGGATTTCTGGCCCAAGATGCTGGGATAGGCTTCAGCCCCCACGACCCTACAGAGGATATGTGGTTTGGAGAGTGAACAGATGGATGGATGAACTTCCAAAATAGCACTTTGACTTGCTTTGATCTTGTTTCTCTTCTTACAGCTGTTCAGCTTAGAAAATACCTTTCCATTATCTTTGTTTTTAATTTTGCATCATTATGCCTGTGCTAAAACTATGAAAATTAAGAAACTAATGAAAGTGTTTTTTTTTTTTTATACAGGATCCTATGTACCCAGCCTCAACCCAGAACTCTTTGAACCACCAGTGGCAGTTTCCACAGGATGAAAAAAGGTCATAGTAGTGGATGATGGGGGTACTGACATTAACCTGCTGTATTCACTGTATTACACACTAGGGATGGGCATTTTTGTCAAATTTTCATGTCAAGTACTGATAGGTCTTTACTTTGACGGTCTGGGCGGCACGCTGTCCTAACACTAAAGTTACTACTACAGATGGAGCATTCTATACAGTTTATTTCTAAGTAAAAAGATGCACATATCAGAATTGGAATACATTGGAATTGGTCAACTAATTTTTGGCACTTTGAGTGTTGTACTGTATTAGTCTTTTGATACTTCAATAGAGACATTCACAAACTCCCCAATTACTTGCAAATTACAAAATGCATTTGCAACTTCATCCAGTGCTCTTTAATATTATAATGCATATAATGTATAATCAGAGAGTGAAAAACAGCTCCAAACGATTCAATGCAAGAGTGAGACGTGATTTTGAGTCAAGATCAAGACTCCAGCTTTGCCTGATATATCATTGGTATATCACTTTCTTGAATAGATGAGCAGATGTAGTCTACAGATGGTTTATTATGTTTTTTTTTGTTTTTTTTACCTCTGCATGTAGTCCATTACTGTTCATGTACTTTAACACTTTTGCATATACAAGCATTTGGAGTATTTCTGACTGTGTTTGTGTCTGCTGAGGTCTGGGATGTCTGGCATGCTCAAGTGCTGACTCTGATTTTAAAAATTAATGAGTTCGGAAAAGCGATTACATTTCTGGGTGAGGACGTGAAGAAATATCTGGTAAAACTTATGTCGGATGCTTATGTTGTATGTCTGTATGTATGTATGTCTTACAGAGCCAATCATCTTAAATGTAGAGCGTAAATCCAAACCCACTGATGCACAAATTCAATCTGTGTTTTACTCCTGCCTTCACTTACAAACATATGTAATCTCTCTCTTTGTCTGTCTCTCTCTCTCTTAATCTCTCTCTCTCTCTCGCTCAATCAAACACTGGTACAGAAATAGTCTATAGCAGTGACAACTGAGGTGTAAAATCTAAACTGTTTCTATGGGGAATAGAAGAGATCAGGTTTGACAGCCACCACGCTACCAATTAATGAGCAGTATAGAGACTAGCATCGACACAGGCTACTGTACCAGTGATACAGGTTACCATGTCAGAGTCAACAGAGTTTGATGGCACAGAACAAGCTATAATTAGAACCTGAGAAAGCAGAATTGTTCCAAAATTAGAGCTCTTAATTAAATGTGCAAGTTGGTCTTGAAAGTGAAAAACACACATTTGAATAGCAAATGCAAACATCTGCAATGCTAATTTGCTGGTAGCCTAAATAAGGGAAAAATTACGTCAATGGAAAAAACTGAGGATATATATATATCACACATCAAATTTTCCCTCTATTTCTTTCCACCAGGATTCTACTGACGGTTGTGGTGATATTCCGTATCCTGATTGTGGCCATCGTAGGTGAAACAGTGTATGAGGATGAGCAGACCATGTTTATCTGCAACACTCTCCAACCTGGGTGCAATCAGGCCTGCTACGACAAGGCCTTCCCCATCTCCCACATCCGATACTGGGTCTTCCAGATCATCCTCGTTTGCACACCCAGCCTGTGCTTCATCACCTATTCAGTACACCAGTCAGACAAACAGCGTGACCGTCGCTACTCCTTCCTCTACCCAATTATGGAGAAGGACTACAGTCGTGAGGGTACCCGAAAATTACGCAACATTAATGGCATTCTTGTGCAGCATTCTGACAGTGGTGGCGGAAAAGACGAACCTGACTGCTTAGACGTAAAGGAGATCCCAAATGCTCCGAGAGGCCTCCTGCATAGCAAGAGCTCCAAGGTACGACGACAAGAGGGCATCTCTCGCTTTTACATAATCCAGGTCGTGTTCCGCAATGCACTGGAGATAGGCTTCTTGGTGGGGCAGTATTTTCTATATGGCTTTAGTGTCCCTGGCATCTTTGAGTGTGACCGCTACCCCTGCCTGAAGGAGGTGGAGTGCTATGTATCACGGCCCACTGAGAAGACGGTCTTCCTAGTCTTCATGTGTGCAGTGAGTGGTATCTGTGTCGTGCTCAACCTTGCCGAGCTCAACCACCTCGGCTGGAGGAAAATCAAGGCTGCCATTCGAGGCGTGCAAGCCCGCAGGAAATCCATCTGTGAGATCCGCAAAAAGGACATGGCCCACCTGTCACAACCGCCAAACCTGGGCAGGACCCAGTCCAGTGAGTCTGCTTATGTCTGATCTCCATTCACCTAAATATGGCATCACAAGGAGTGGAGCAGAGAGTGGAATGTTAAAATAACAAGGCGCTTATGGTACTTGTGCACATGTTTATAATGTCAAAGTGGGAGGGGCTCCACATAGCCACACCTCTTTCCCACAAGCCACTCCCTCCCTCTTTATGGCATATGACAATGTTTGAGGAAGTTTGCACAATGTTAGGCTTCTAGAAGATAAGGCATAGAAGAGGGATTTTTGGAAAGTCTCGAACACAAAGATCAGTGGAAGGGTGAAGAGTGTAAGGTACGATATGATGAGGTGATGGACTTCTAATATAGAATAGTATGGAGATAAAAGTATCTGGGTCTGTTTTCCCACTTTTCTCAATCTCACATCTTGAGGAAAAACGAGGAAGGATAAGATAGCAGGAGAACGTAGCATGACAATAACCTCCCACTTTCCTGAACCGTTGTCACTGAGATGGTGCCAGAAAAAGAAACTGTTTAGGTTTGCTCTCCTGGCAGTGAATCGGCCTAAAACAAACAACGGGTGGGATATAAACATTGTTACAAGCAGTGGCACCTTCACTTTGACATTTGATTGAACAAACATCAGCATCTTTTTTGTAATCTCTCTGGTTGTCCTACAAGTCTAGGGGATGATTATTACCTCTGCTCAAAGTGTGCCCTTCCATGAAGACACCCACTGTTATGTGTTCCAGTCAAGTATTCATCCCTCTTGTGGTGCATGAATGTGTGTTTATAAGTATGTATGTATGTGACCAACGTTGAAAGAATTTACAGATTGCAGATAATTTTTTGTTCTTTTTAAGATTTTACTTTTGTTCTCTGCAAAGGTTGGTGCCATCGACTTAAATGACTGTTTATTTCAGAATATTATTTAAAACATAGTTAAAAGATTATTGCAAAGTTAGATTATTTATATTTATTGGGAAAGGAAGCCAACCCTGCTGAAAAGAATTCCCATGCTGGTCCAGCGCTGGTTTATGCTGATTATTGCTGGTTTAACTGGTGGAGAAGAATAGCCAAAAAAAAAATAAAAAATCAAACCTAAGGAACCAGCATGGTCTTTCTGGTGAACGTGATTGACAAAGAAAATCTTGTTTGTTATGATAGATGCTTGATGGGGACGTAAAAAGAATTGAAGAAATGTTTTCATGCATCCAGATGTTTCTGTCAGGACAACTATCGTCAAAGATGATTGACAATTAGCATACAGTTTGGAGATGAATCTATTATCCAAAAATTTGCATAAAGGTATCTTTCGAAGGCATGTTTACAAAGCTTTATCTGTCAAATGACTTTTTAAATGAAAATTGATGTGCAGTGTGTTATTTGGACAAAGGATCAATTTATAGTATTTTATTAGCTTTTTCTTCTCGTCACGTGTTTAATCAGCATGCCTTTACTATTAAGAAAAGAAGAAGCTTAGAAAAATATATGTATGCATTGCACTTTGTGGGATGGGAAGAGTGGATAAAAGGAGAAACTCACTCTGGGAAAGACATTAGTGGAGGGAAAGTGAGCCTTTTGAATTGGTCCATCCTAAATAAATCAATGATGAGTACGTAGGTATGTGCGTCTATGTAGCTGTGATCCCCTGTGTGCCTTTGTTTACACAGTGTGGGTTAAAGCAGGGAGTAACGTCTCTAACGAACACACACACAAAAATATTTGAGTTGTCATTCAGCCAATTTTAGCACTAACTTTTGTGCCTACACCACCCTGACTCCACTCTGCACGTGCACATAAAACAACTCAGTGTAGACAGAACACAGTGCAACTAACACGGACCAGCTCGCTGACATACCGCAGAGACAGAAAACACTGTCAGAGAAGATACAGAGAGAAAGAGAGGAAACTGCAGAGGCCCATTAATAGCAACACAATTGTCCTGACTTTTAGGCATTTCTGGCAGAAAAAGTATTTTACAGGAAAGTGTGTGTTTATGTTTAGTTTGACGTGGAGTGCAGTTTGGCCACAATTCTGATTCAGGCCAGAAGTCAGTGTGAGGATGGATATTGTCGTTTACATCTAAATTGAATGAGAGGTATAAAATTGGCCACATTTATGAGGCGTCCAATGCATGTCACATTTGTTTTACTGAAAATGTAAACAGCTCGTAAATGATCCGTAAAAACTTAGAAGCAATTGTGGACTTTTCTGTACTTCAGCCAAAATGTGAGCAAGGATTTCGATGATTACATTTAGACCCAGGTTACAAAATTAGCACTCATCAAGCGGCAAATGTGATTGGCAAGTACATAAACGAAGTTACTTGCCAGTTTATTAGGAACTGCAACAGTCCTGCAATAATCTGACCTTTAACAAAGTGATGCAAGTCAAAGACATACAAACTACTACTGCTGTTATTTTTTATTTAAATGCAAGTACAGTTTCATGGCTGGTACACATACTAAGCTCAACCTGCAATTGGCCAGCATGGTGAAAAGTTAATTTTGGACCCTATGTATACACTCTAAAAAAGAATTTATTAAAACGTAGCACAGAACTAATTTAATGAGGTTTGATTAAAACAAGACAAAATGCCAATGAAATAAACCCAAAATTAAGTTTTAAAGAGGTTTTAGATATCTTTACTAGAAAAAAAAGACAAAAATACTTTGTACGAATATGATTGTATTCTCTGCAGATCTAAATATTGGGACCAGTTTAACATGTAAATTATAAGGGACTATAGCCATTATTGTGTGGGGTAAAAAGAAAATACACCCCTGTGCTCGGGACCAAGTATATACTACATCTCTTTTCTTACATCGTACCTTCTCCTGTGTTAGAGAATTCCAGTTCTTTTATTCTGATCCGAAAATATTAACTCTGACAAAATCATAACCTCTGCAACTATTCAGCATTAAAGGCCATCTTTTACAAGCATGTTATTTCCAGGTGCAGTTCAGAGATTATGAAGATTGCTTCCCCAAGTGAGAACTTCTTCATGTGCTTGCATTAATCCACTCTTCTCCTCAGTCTATTTTTATAAAAACCTATATCAGAGTTTGAATAGTAGACAAAAAAGAACAATGTCAGATTTTGTTTCTTCTTTTTATTTATTCCCGCTTGTGAATTATGTTTATGTGTGCAACTCTTTTTTACAGTGCTGTAATATGAGGGATACCGCAGGGGGAATTTAAAGACCAGAATTAGGATTTGAAGTAAAAATGTAGCTTTACTTGCCAAAGTTTTGTTATATGCAACTTCATAACTAATTGGGTTTCGGTGAATGGGTTGATCAGTTACTGTAAAGCATGTGTAACTGATATGGAAAGCATGTTTTTGTTCTTTTATTTCACTCTTTTTTTATGAGACAGAAAAGCAGGCACAAGTAAATGGCATGATTAGATTAGAAAACTGTGTAAAATGGTAAAGATTTCAGGCATTCATGGGCCAAAACTAAATTCTAAGACTATAGCAGGTATTATTACGCAGACTACAATCTTGTTACAAACATATGCAACATTTGATTTTAAGCACAAACTTTTGACATGAGGGAAGTATATTTATGATTACACACATCCTGTAGTCACTGCCAGACAATTTTGTAGAAAATAACTGTTTCACCTAAAAAAAGTGTTTTTTGGAGACATAATTGATGTGTAAGTAAGCAACCTGCATGTTTAATTGACAATGGGATGTTAATCTACTGCCACGGATCATCATTTTAAATGTGAGATGAAGACATTAAATGCTGATATTTCAGAAAGTCATAATGGTAATTAAACACCCAGTGGGGCAGTGCACATGGAAACAAAATGTCTCAGGTGACAGATTTTTTTAAATGACCTTTTCAAATGACACGTTCTCGGTGTACAGTATCTTTGCAAAAGCCAGTAGAAATTATGCCCATGTTTTATAGAGTTGTAAAACAAAAACTACTGATAAATTGTAAATTATTTGATAACAGTGGATCTTTTACAAGCATGTTTTTCAGGATAGTGAAAATAATCAGATTATTGCTCAAACATTAGTCTAATGAGTCTTTCCTGGCAGTGCCAAAAGATTTTTTACACAGATATGCATATTAAGTTATGAATAGAACAGAGTCAAGTTCATTCCCCGTTAGCTCAGGAAAAAGAATCATTCTAATCTCACATTAATCCCTTCTGAATGATCATCACATGTCCCAGAATGCTCTCTGAGTGTCTGCCAGAAACCAAAGCACCCACGGTCACCAGAGCCCCTGTCCCAACCACACTTTTCCATTGCCAGCTCAGGTTTTCCTCTAAAGCTCTGGCTCATGATCAATCCCTCATTTCAGCAAGGACAGTTAAATGAGATGATGCCGTTTTAATCTGTTGTCCTTTGCTTAATAACCACTGCTGTATTTCCAAACTGCCCAGAAGAAGCCATCCTTAAGTTTTAATTCACATATAGGGCTCACTTTTCCTTTCTCGTTATAAAACGGAATTATAAAACTGGTCTGTTTGTTTGCTTATTAGACTATTGTACCATTCGCTCAAATCACTCTTTTATATCGTTATTTGTGTTGCACAGTTTATGTAGAATTTACCAAATCAACCACCTATGAGATTCCATGATGGTTAAGATGATGTCTACAGTTGCCTTCTAGTTTTTTTCAAAATTTACTTTAAATTTCAGGTTAGTCCATAGAAGCCAGCCGCCAGGTGTTAAGAAAAACTAAGGCATGAACTAATGTATTCTTCAATTTGCCAGATAAACTGATTAGGCTATGCAGAGCATGTTTGGTTGTTTGAGCAGCAGAGTGTTATTTGATATTTATTTAATAAAGTTCCTCGCAATGAGAGGAGTATAACAGTTAGTAGGAGAGTGGTAAGTAAAGTAAGTAAAAGTTTATTTATATAGCACCTTTCACAGACAATGAATAGTCACAAAGTGCTTTACAATAAAAAAATCAAATCAAAACAAATTAAGGTACACTCTAAAAAATGCATGTATACTAACTCTCATTAGAGTATAAGTAGCCTGTCTGCTTAATATCTGCTTTATTGTGATGGTCTCCCAACAGTTGTTCCACTGACTATCAGTACACTCTAAAAAATGCTGGGTTAAATACAACCCAGTGCTCGAAACAACCATGATTGCTTAAGTTTAAATAAATAAATATCAATTAAAAATGAATCAAAAATAAATCAAATTATCAAAAAAAAAAAAAACTACTTTGTACAAAAGGTCAGATTTCACAGAAGATGGACACATCCTCAAATCATGCCGGGATAACATGGATCATCAGGTTTAGCACAAATTTGTTAAGCCCATGCCAGCTCAAGTGCTGCTGTCATAAAAGGACAAGAGGTACGAAAAAAATGCTGAAATTCATGTTCCACGGTCATTATAAGATATATAATGAAAAAAAAATGTAATAACAAAAATGCAAACCAGAAGAAATTTCACTAGTAGTTTCAGACTTGGATCCAGCTGTATGTTGTTTACAAGTAATCAGCCGTGCGCTAAACTGCATTGTAACCTAATCACATATTAGTAATTGTAACTACTACAATAGCTGGAAAAGTTGTAATTTCCAAAAGCTTAATGGCTGCATTAATGAGTTCATGCAGTTCCTACAGTAGATCAATAAACAGCACGGCTTTCTAATAGCAGTGGCCATAGCAGGAATGGTAATTATAATGGAAAGGCTAATGAACTCTCATGAATTGAGAGTCTAAAACTGATAGGCATCTCTATTAGTTGAATCAGCTTTACTGCAAGAACATTTTCTTCCAAATTTGGTCGTTAATTTGAAGCATCAAGCATCATATGTGAGTCATTGTACATACGTGGCATAAGATAGTCAGTGTCCTTTTTATTTTATTATACATGTCTGTGTGTGTGTGTGTGTGTGTGTGTGTGTGTGTCATGTCAACCCCCTTCTATTGCCCGCAGTCACGTGGTTGCAGGTTGGGATTGAGGGCCTGTTGCCACGGCGATAAGCCAGGCAGTAATATCACTAAGCGCTACAGGGATTATTGTACGGACAGATGGGTGAGAGAGAGCGTCACTTCCTAAAAGATGAGCAGAGATCACGGCAGACTCCGCCGACACTCGCCATCATAATTGTTAGCATCACCACCTGCAGCCGCATACATCATCTGATCTCCCACAGTGAAAGTAAATGTCACTTTATTCACCTTTGATTAGTATCATTAATGACCATAATTATGCATTTGAAACACTGCGAAACCACTTGGAAATTCAGATTATCATTTCAAAAGCCAACATGAG